TCCTGAGTAGCTGGGATTACAGGCACGCGCCACCATGCCCAGCTGATTTTTTTGTATTTTTAGTAGAGACGGGGTTTCACCATGTTGACCAGGATGGTCTCAATCTCTTGACCTTGTGATCCACCCGCCTCGGCCTCCCAAAGTGCTGGGATTACAGGCGTGAGCCACCGCACCCGACTCTTTTTGTCTTTTATCTTTAATTCTTCCCAGTATATTTTTTCTGCTATATGGAAAGTAGTGTTCTAATTTCTAATCTCTCATTTTTAATACTTGATATTTTCACTTATTCTAAGGAAATATTTTGTTATATTTTTCAGCTTGTAATGATGTTGATCGATGGCCTGCTCCAGTGCCAGGGAAAACATTACACCTGCCTATCATGGGGGTGGTAATGAAGGTAATATCTCATATCTTAATTGTCTCCTTTTTGTTTTATTTTAATTTTTTTTGAGACAGGGTCTTGTGCTGTCATCCAGGCTGTAGTACAGTGGCATGATCACAGCTCACTACAGCCTCAACTTTCCGGCATCAAGCGATCTTCCCACTTGAGCACCCCAAGTAGCCAGGACTATAGGCATGCACCACTATGCCTGGCTAATTTTTAAATTTTTTGTAGACAGGATCTCACTATGTTTCCCAGGCTAATTGTGATCTTTTTAAATAACTTTTGGACAGGCGTGGTGGCTCATACCTGTGATCCCAGCACTTTGGGAGGCCGAAAGTGGGTGGATCACTTGAGCCCAGGAGTTCAAGACCAGCCTGGGCAACATGGTAAAACCTTGTCTCGACAAAAATACAAAAGTTAGCGGGGTATGGTGGTACACACCTGTAGTCCTAGGTACTTGGGATATTGCTTGAGGCTGGGAAATTGGGGCCGCAGTGAGCCATGTTTGCATCACTGCACTCCATCCTGCATGACAAAATTGAGACCCTGTCTCAAAAAAAAAGAACTTTGTAGGAAGCTCCCACATGGGCTTTGCTTTTTAACCTTCTATTAATGTTAGTCATGTTATTGCTTTCACTTGTTTGTCATTGATGTGTGGCATTACAGAGATACTGCAATTCATTTTGCTTCCTAGAACCACTAGTCACACAGCTTCAGGCACCTCTGATCCCATGGCATCCTGTAGAGTTTGCAGAAGAGTGTCATTTGAATGTTATACATGTACATGTAAGTGCTACCTTCTAGAGTTCTGCAGCTCTATGGCCCTACCAGTGCCTCCAGAGATGAGTGATATGCAGAAACAGATCACTCAGTAGAATTGATTCTGAATTAATAAAAATTAAGAGAAATTGGGAAAGCTATTGGTTCCTAGTTCTAAATGATGTTCTTAACATGAGATGTCAGGACCAAACATGTTTATCCCAGGGTATTTTTCTCTGTTAGATTTTTCTTTTAAATAAATTAGCATTTTCCTCTCAGACTTTGTATGAGTGTACTGTAAGTGATTTGCAATTCACTATTGAGTAGGATTTATGACTATGTTCTGTCTACGTGTGCTCATTTTTATAGGATCTGTGTTGTGTTTTTCCCTGGGAAATCATGAAAAGTAATACTGATAGCTCTTTGTTGAGTGTTCTCATTGTTTCCTGTGAGATTTATCCAAAACTCTGGCAAGCTTCAGAGGGTGTGTTTGGGTGTGTGTATATTAATGAAGCAAAGATTGGAACAATAAACAGGAAGCAGTATGAAGCTGATGTCCTTTTTCTGTTTTTCAACATACTTGCTTCTCAGGAATTTAGTGATTTCTGTGTACATATGGGTATGGAGACCTTGATTTACTTACTTTTTGCTGTGACTAAAAATAAGTATGACCTTAGTTTTTAATTCTGACATAAATATTTTGTTTTTGTAGCTTTTTTGACATTACTGACCATACCTTTTTAGCAGTACTTCTCATCCCCTATTCTTTTGTAGCCAAAAATAATTTCCTCTCTTTCTTTAAGGTACGGATTCCCACATGTCATGACAAGCCTGGGACAACTCAAATAGTGCAGTTTACTCAGCAGGTAGTGTGGTACTGTGGTAGAATGATCCAACACATACAGTCTCTTTAACAGACTTTTTAAACTTGCAAATGCAGTTTCTTGAGTTTATTACATATTTCTGAATATTACTGAAATATCACATTAAATAATTTTTAATGAATTGCAAATAATTCTCTAATGTTTCTTAGGGTGTTTTTTCTTGTTATTTCTCCAGTAGACACCAGAGAACTCAGAAGTTATATTTTAATTGTGAGGAAAAGGGGAAAGTGAATTTTTTCTCAACAAGCTTTGATTCTAGAAAAACCTCTTATCTTAGGAGAGTGACCAGCAGACTTCCGATTTTAGGAGACTCAGTTAAAAGGATTCTGTAGTTACAATTGCCCTATTTTTCCAAAAGCACCATCTGTTCATGGGTGGGGTTGAAGTTTTCATTTGAAATATTTTAACTGATGTTTTTAACTGGTATAAATTTTTTTGTTGTGCTTTGTTCTTTGAATTGAATAAAAAACAGCAGTAGGAAAACTAATATTTCTGTCACATATCAACCAGTATTAATAGTAGTATTTCATACAGTTTTGAATTAATCTAATCTTGACTATTGGATAATTTTTTTTTTTTTTTTTTTTTTTTTTTTTTTTTTTTTTTTTTTTTTTTTTTTTTTGAGATGGAGTTTCGTTCTTGTTACCCAGGCTGGAGTGCAATGGCGCGATCTCGGCTCACCGCAACCTCCGTCTCCTGGGTTCAGGCAATTCTCCTGCCTCAGCTTCCTGAGTAGCTGGGATTACAGGCACGCGCCACCATGCCCAGCTAATTTTTTGTATTTTTAGTAGAGACGGGGTTTCACCATGTTGACCAGGATGGTCTCGATCTCTTGACCTCGTGATCCACCCGCCTCGGCCTCCCAAAGTGCTGGGATTACAGGCTTGAGCCACCGCGCCCGGCCTAATTTTTTTTTTTTTAAACAAGGACTAGGTCTCCCTCTGTCACCCAGTCTGGAGTACAGTGGCATGATCATAGCTCACTGCAGCCTCTAATTCCTGGGCTGAAGTGATTCTCCCACCTCAGCCTCCTAAGTAGCTAGGACTATAGGTGCATGCCACCACACCTGGCTAATTTTTAATATTTTTTTGTAGAGATGGCATTTCGCTCTGTTGCCTAGACTGATCTCAAAATCTTGGCGTCAGCTGGCCACCATGCCCAGCTAATTTTTTGTAGTTTTAGTGGAGACGGGGTTTCACCATGTTGACCAGGATGGTCTTGATCTCTTGACCTTGTGATCCACCCGCCTCAGCCTCCCAAAGTGCTGGGATTACAGGCTTGAGCCACCGCGCCCGGCCTGGGATTCATTTTTTATCCAAGTTATCTGTGTATTCTTGATCTTCTGCTATGTTAGGGAAGATTGATAAGACCCATTCCCTCTCTAGATGCTTCTAAAGGAAGAGAATCTTAAAAGTTAGATAGGGCAACATGGCTTATTGATCATGAGATAGATATACTTTGAATTTTCTATAAATTTTGATGATATATTCTCTATTATTTTTCTTTTTTATCTCTCAGGCAGACACAAATATATCTGTTATTTTACCTACTGTTCATGAGGTGGATCTTTTCAGGTAAAGAATAAAAAGTTTTGTTAACTGACTTTTCTTTCTTTTGCTTTGTGATGGTGGTGGTAATATGTTAAAAAAAGAATGTTCTCATATAGGATATAGAAAAAAATGGAAAGAAAATAGTTACTATGTTTTACATGTTATAAATCAATGGTTCATCCCTGGCTACATGTTATAAGCTTTGACAATTAGGGAAATTTGGATATAGAGTATGTAAAAATATTTTTTGTTTGGTTTGGTGTGAGAATTATATTGTAATGATGTTAGAAAACATGCTTTTTTTTAAAAAAGATACATTTTATTTGGGAGTGAAATGTCACGAGGTTTGTGTTTTATTTTGAAATACTTCAGTAAGAAAAAATGGATGATATAAAATGGCAAATATTATTAATCATTAAATCTAAGTGATATGTATGTTGATGTCTCTTACACTATTGTTTTTTTTGTATGTTTGAAAAATGTCAACATGAAAAATGAAAAAAAGGTGTACTGTTAGCATTTAAAAAAGAAATAGAGGAAAAAGAAAAAGTAATGTTTGTGCCTTTACCCAGAGCAGCTAAATCTTTGGATTGATGCTAGCTCCCCAGGTGGTTCTGATGTATAGGCCAGCTTGAAAAACCACTGCAATTACCAAATGCTCAAAAAAGTCATGGGAGAGATAAAATGGATTTTTTTGGTGGGACTTTTTTTCTTTTTTGAGACAGAGTCTCACTCTGTTGTCCAGGCTAGAGTGCAGTGCTGCAGTCTCGGCTCACTGAAACCTTCGCTTCCCAGGTTCAAGCAATTCTTCTGCCTCAGCCACCCAAGTAGCTGGGCCTACAGGTGCACACCACCATGTCTCGCTAATTTTTGTATTTTCACTAGAGACGCTGTTTCCCCATGTTGGCCAGGCTGGTCTCAAACTCCTGACCTCAAGTGATCTACCTGCCTTGGCCTCCCAAAGTGCTGGGATTACAGGTGTGAGCCACCACATCTGCCCAATCTTTTTTTTTTTGATGACTTGTAAACTTCATGGACTACTACTTCAAAGACTGGTTAGTTTTTAAAAAAACAAAAAGATTAGTTAGCTTTGTATGTTGCTCCTAGCACAGTACTGCCATTCTATTTCTAGATATTTACTCAATAAAAATGAAAACGTGTCTATGTGAAAACCTATACACAGATGTTTATATAGCAGCTTTATTCATGGTAGTATAAAACTGTACACAACCAAAGTGTCCATCAACTGATAAATGGACAGACAAAATGTAATACATGAATGTACATGGAATACTACTCTGCAGTTTAAAAAAAAAAAAGGAACAGTTAATATATGCAATAATATGAAAGACTTCCAAAAGCATTATGCTAAGTGAAAGACTCCAGATATTTGAAGATACTTGCTGAATGATTTCATTTATATGATATTCTAGAAAAGACAAAACTATAGAGACAGAAATCAGATCAGTGGTTACCTGGGGCTAAAGGAAGGAATCTACTACATAAGGGCTGCAGGGATTTCATGAGGTGATGGAACTATTCTAGATCTTTGGTAAGGGTAAATTTTACTGTACATAAATTATAAATAGGACTTTTTTATTTTACTTTTTTTACCCATAACTCCTGAGAATATACCAAGTAATAAATGTGACTTTTAAAACAAATTAATTTTCTTAAAAAATTATATGCTATAGCATTGTTAGGATGAAAAGAGGGAGCGTCCCCAAAATAAATGAGTAATTATTACAGAAAAAATGCACTAAGAGGAATGTATACTATTTCTCCTTTTAATACTTGACTCATTAAGGAATAATTTGTTTGCTGAAGTGGCATAAATTAATACAGAGTTTAATTATCAGATATTTTTTTCTTTTGAACTTCTGGGTATGAGACTTACACTTCTCTGTTTGTTACTGATTATCTTAGCTTTTGTGGTACAGGTTGCATATGCCATATCTGAAATGCTTAGGATCAGAAGTGTTTTGGAATTTGGACTTTTTTAAATTTGGGGATTTTTGCGTATACATAATGAGATATCTTGGGAATGGTCTCAAGAGTCACTTATGCTTCATATACACCTTATACACATATCCTGAACATACTTTTTACAAATATTTTTAATGATTTTGTGCATGAAACAAAATTTTGATTGCATTTTGACTTTGACTCATCATGAGGTCATGTGTGGAATTTTCCACTTGTGGCATCATGTCAATGCTGAAGACCTTTTGGATTTGCGAACATTTTGGATTGCAGATTCTCACATTCGAGATGCCCAACCTGTAGTTAATTCCCCCGTCACTAACACCTTTGATTAGCACGTGTCTCTTCTACTGGATGTGAATTACATAATATTGTTTTAAGAGTGGGACAAGTTAGTTTGTTGTTTTTTAATTCTTGTTTCCCAAGAGATAAGAAAGCCAAATTTTGACAAATAATCTTACACAGTGATAGTATTATGTCAAGCATTTGATAGCTAATGATTAGATTAATACTTTATTTGTGACAGTGTGCTTTGTTTTATGTTGATAGAGCTTATATTTCACATTTATTAGTGTGAATGAAAGTTTGCCAGTTATATTGAAGGTGATATATTTACACCAAGACTGAGCTTGAGAGCAGAGACCTAGAAAGGCATTTGAATTTGAGTGGCAGAGATACAGTTGAGTATAGGGGCTCCTTTCACTAGGTCAAGGTCTATTCCATGGACCATGGTTTTGGTTTCAGCTTTTTTGATAGAGAAATAGTTTTCTCATTCTGTTTTTGAGGTGACATTAGAATTGAAGGGCAGTTTTCTGTTGAAAGAAATGGACATTTTCTTGCCTTACAGTCAGAGACATTTTACCTGATGATATTTGCTATCGATTCCTAGTACAATGAGAGACACATCAGTTATCACCTCTCACCATCTGCTTCTCTCCCCTGTTCCCTATTGTGACTTGAGAAACAAGTTATTTTGGCTTTCTACCGCATTGGCTGAATAGTCAACAGTTACGGCTGTTTCTGTGTTTCAGAGATTGAGAAAGCCTATCACCCCATAAAATATATCTCATGCTATTTGACACATGTTAATTTCTTTTGGGTTTAGGTTTCAGTTTATAATAACATACTATATCTTTCTCAAAAGGTTGAAACCATTATTTATTTCTTAAAAGTTAATTCCTAATTATTTTCCCAAGGCATGGCTGTTTTAATGGTGAGAGCATAACATAAAGGCATGGTACTCCAGAATGGGAATATAAATGTGGTACTAAAAAAAAAAAAAAAAAAAAAAAAACATCCAGTGATTTCCTTACAGACCTTCATTTCAGTAATCCTGTACTGTAGTTAATTTGGTGCACACTACTAATATTTTTCAGTTAGAGCTGGAGATAAGTTTAATACAAAGCTTTCAAAGAATGATTTATCTTGTAACTATACTTCCTAACTTCTATTTGTGCCCTTTGCTAATAATATATTAATATATTTGAAAGACAATAATTTGCAACTTGGTGCGTTAAAGGAATCCCACTATTAAAGTCAGTTGATCAGATGTTTTCATGTAGGCCTTTTTCATTTTTCCTTTGATTATTTTTTATAAGCCAACAGAAAAGTGGCAAGTATAATACAGAAGACTTTTTTTCCTGAACCATTTGGTAGTAAGCTGGAGACCTGGTGCCCTGTCATACCTTAATACTTCAGAATCTATTTCCTACAAACAGATATACAATGCAACCATCAAAATTGGTAAAATCAACATTGATCAGTTAATATCATCTAATACTAAGACCAGTTCAAATGTTACCAGTTATTATAATAATGTCTAGTTTAGAATCTAGAATAGTTCTTTAGTCTGTCACTTTCATGACTCTGATATTCTTGCAGATTACAGGACAGTTATTTTGCAGAAACTCCTCAGTTTAGGATTGTCTGGTATTTACTTCTGATTAGATTGAGGCACTGCTTCTCTCAGGAGATGGCACACAAGTTGAGCTTGCCTCATTATTGATGATGTTCATTTTGATCGCTTGATTAATGTAGTGTCCTCCAAGCTTCTTCACTAATAAGTTGATTTTTCTTTTGTAATTAGGTATTCTTGGGGAAGACATTTGAAACTATGTATGTTAGTTATTTATTGATGTGTAACAAATTACCCCCAATACTTACAGGCTTAAAAGAGCAAACATTATTTCACACAGTTTTGGAGGGTTGGAAATCTAGGAGCTGCTTAGGTGGGTGATTCTGGCTCAGAGTTTTTTATGTGGTTGCAGTCAGTTGTTAGCTGTGGTTTCAGTCAATCGGACATGAGTCTGGAGAGTCTACTTCCCCACAAGGCTTAACTTGCACAGCTGTTGCCTGGAGATCACAGTTCCTTGTGGCTGTTGTTAGGAGGTCTCAGCCCTAGCCTTATGGACCTCTCCATAGGGCTGCCTGAATGTTCTCACAACATGGCAGCTAACTTTTCCCAGAGCAAGCACTCAGAGAAGGCTGAAGCCACAGTGTCCTGTAAGACCTAGCCTTCAAAATTGTACATTGTAATTTCTACCATATTCTGTTGCTTACAATCAAACCACTAATCCAGTCCATACTCAAGAACAAGAGAATTAGGCTCCATGTTTTGAAAGGAGTGTCAAAGAATTTGTGGACAGATTTTATTTGTTTATTTTTAATTTTATTATTTTTGTGGAGAGAGTGTCTTGCTTTGTTACCCAGGCTGGTCTTAAATTGCTGGCCTCAGGTGATCCTCTCACCTTCATTCACCACCTAAGGTGTAGGGGTTACAAGCATGAGCCACCATGGGCAGCCTGGACATATTTTAAATCAGCACACTATTTTATATATTTGCTTGGACTCTGATTTCTTGCTTTATTCAGTGGATTCTAGTCCGTTATTATTTTGATATTCAAAGTGTCCCCAGTTTAGCCAATGAGAAATTACTATAGGCTGGCCTCTATGTTTTTGCCATATCTCTGTCATTCTTTTTTTTTTTTTTTTTTTTTTTTTTTTTTTTTTTTTTTTTTTTTTTTTTTTTTTTTTTTTTTTGT